TTTTTGCAATACACTGCAAAACAGAGAGTGAGACAAGTTTGACTGGACAATGCAGTTTGATTTTTTTCACCCATCTTCATCCTTCAAATGAACCTTTTTGCCCTGCTTGTTAGCAGACAAACTACATCACATTTTCAATCAAGTTGTATTGATTATCTAGTTGAATGCCATTAAACAGATGAGTTATTTTACTTGTAATGTTAGTCTTTATGCCAGAGATCTCCTCCTGACTTATCTTTATGTTCAGGATTATTTCGCTAAAATGAACTGTATTCAGAGTGAATGTAAAGAGCATTGGACTTGAATTAAGTTTAAAGTTATTTGAGATCAGAGTCTGAGCTGACAAACACAAGCAAACAGTGTGTACTTTGTCAGCTAACGTTAGCTACTTCGAGGTATAGCTGTACAGTTGCTAAGCAGGAAAAAATCCTTGTGTTGTGATCTGAAAACATTGGTAACACTGGAATTGTAACTTTTTATCACCCGTTTCACTGGCAGTTTCACCGTGTGACAGAGAGAGGAGCCTGACTCTGATCCTGATCCTCCAAACTACAGGGTGAGTTTCATCTTCACTTTACTTTGTGTTAGCATATTAGCCAGCTAGCTAAACTGTCATTTGTTACGTCCAGTATTATTACAATGAACAGAGCAGAGGTCTTTGTTAGTGAAGAAAGTGAAGAGGTCCATTCTGTTCTCTGAAGATATAAATTGAAAAAACAAAAAAGATCTCAAAGAATGGGGTGATACAGTGGCAAGAAAAAGTATGTGAACCTTTTGGAAAGTCATGGTTTTCTGAATAAATTTGTCATAAAACCTGATCTGATCTTCATCTAAGTCAAGGGTATTGACAAATATAATGTGTCTAAAATAATAACACAAGAAAAAATCTGATCTTTCATGTCTTTATTGAACACACTCATTCAACATTCAAAATGGCAGTGGAAAAAGTAAGTGAACCCTTAGAATTAAGAACTTGGTTGACCCCCGCATCCCCCAGCAATAACCTCAACCAGGGGCTTGCTTCTTTTGCAAAACAAACTCCAAAAGTTTGAGGGGTTTTTATCAGTCAAAGTAGCTTTAGTCCACACCCCCAAACTCATTGTCTTAACGAGACTCCAGGTATGCTAAAACCTGACACCAATTAGCTTTTTTGAGGTCATTAATTCAAGGGCTCACATACTTTTTCCACAAGCACTATGAGGATTTTTTGGTTATTCTCAATAAAGACATGAAAGATCAATTTTTTTTTTGTGTTATTATTTAAGACACATTATATTTGTCAATACCCTTGCCTTAGATGAATATCAGATCATATTTTATGACAAATTTACTCAGAAAACCATGAAATTCCAAAAGGTTCACATACTTTTTCTTGCCACTGTATACTGCTGTTTCACAACTCAGGCAGAGGAAATGGTTTGTGATATAATCAGTCCTTCTCGTTAATAACAAACAGGATAAACAGTGCAAGAGCAGTTCAGATTGATGTGAACAAGCAATACCCACGTCCACAACACCCTGAGTGAACTGCCTATTTATTTACTGTATCTCTATGTTTTTCAGAAATCATAAACTGGTGAACATACTCACCTTCTGGCTGGCACATGTATCTCTTATAATTATAATATAAATATCAAAATGCCAAGAGGAGTTTTCACCCAACTCATGGTGTGTTCATATTAGCTTATGCCAATGAGCCAGCAGCGAGCATGATAATCCTTGTCATCATTGTTACTGGGTTGGCAACTGACTGGACAACGTGGATCACGGTCATGTCCGTACAAGTTTTAATGGTCTCTGACAGTTGTGGATGTTATGATTCATATTGTTTTAGATGCTTCTTTGTGGTAGTTTCTAGTAGGAAGTGCCTCCCTCAATCATTCTTAGCTCACAAACCTTCCTGTCTTTCTCTTATCGTCTATGTTGTTCGATCTGTGAAATCTCACAGCATCTCTGTCCCTTAATGGTGTCTGCAGAAAAGCTTTCTTGATATCAGCCATGTCAGCCGTTTCATGCAACCTAAACTTTTTAAAAATGCTTATCAGATCCAAATTTGGGTTGTGTCCTGTTAATAAAGAATCACTGAGATCATCAAGAGCACCTGCAGTCTGCGTGAGAGAATGCATCAAACACAAAAACAGCTGAGTGGCCAGGTAGTCATGTCTCCCTCAGCAAGTTGTACACGACACAAGTGTTAATGCAAGAAACTTGTGACATATCTGGGTCCCAAACCAGTGATGTGTGGTTTCTTTTACAGATAGGCAAGCAGAGCCAATGAACCAAAGAACCAACTGAACTGACAGTAAACATCAAATGCGCAGTATAGAGGGAAGAATATCTAAGAAGTCAATTCTATGGTAATCTTCAAAATATTTACCATTAACTCACAATGATGCACTTCTGTGATAATGCACAATCCTTTATTTTCCTGCCTCAATATGCTGTCTTAAACTTATGACAGATCTTACACCGAGAACCTTACACCTTGACTAAGGGAAAGGAAAAAACATAACTAAAAAGCAACTTTGAATTCTAAGCCTTGGGTGTTATCTAGCGTGGTTAGCTATAAATATGTAAACTGAATAAATGCCAGGTTATAATATAGTTGTGAGGTGGACCAGGGCAACTTGTAACTATTTGAGATGATAATGTGTAATTTGCTTCTTTACTTGCTACTGCCACCTCTCAATGCTTGGGAAGAAAAGACTGGTGAAGTAAATTTCTAATGCACAAGTACAGTTTCCACAAGTCTGCGTATGTGTATAATAATGCATGCAATATTGTTGTCATTAGCAGATTTGCATTAGTGCCCAATCAGCGTTGCACATTTACAATGGGGTCAACACAAAGCCTAACCAACACCCGCATTTTCGCACATGCATAGAGCAAATCAAGTTTCCAGCACATACTGGGCAGCTACAATCCTAACTGATCGCACAACAGTGGAAGCTGAGTCAAGCACAGTTTAACAAACACACCTGTATGTAGCTAGCGAAACATCTGTCAAAGATCCCAGGATTATCAACAATGTGCATGTGCAAATGTCCAAAAAAAATACTGCTCCCCTTTTCGCTTGGCTAGCAAATTACACGATGAATGCAAACAGGCATCAGATCCTTTAAGGGACAGAATGCTGCTCTGAGATGTAAGGAGAGATATAGCTTCCACTTCAGTATCATTCTGAATGATGTCTATTTTTTAGCTTTAACTGTCCTGATGGCACGCCACTCACCTGGTTGGATAAAACACCTGCCAGGCTTGATCATTTTTTCCTTACGTGCATCAACTGTGTGATCTGGAAATCTCATATTTTTATATTTTTTTCTGGTTTTATTGAGGAGCCACATTGTCTGGAATGATCTGCAGCAGTAATAGGTATAAAACAGGGCAGATGTCCTGCAGCCTTGACATAAAGTATGTGCATTTATACTGAGGGCCTCTCTTCCAGATCTGCTCTGAGTCAGTCAACTGATATCAGTAAATCAGTTGCAGTATCATGATTGCTGTCTGTTATAGTGAGTGCTGCTACTGGCTTTGCAGCGGTGCCAGTCAAGTTTATGGATATGTCAATTTCTTTCTCTTGCAAAGAGCATCATTATTGTGAACAGCAGTTTGCTTCTGGCTCCAAAACACCTGCCATAAACTCAAGCTCAGTGTGTAGCCCCATTTTAAGAAGACCATCATTGTCCTTGTCCTGAAAAATCTAAAAACCACCTGCCCTAATGACTATCACACATTAGCACAAACTTCCATTGTTATGAAGTTCTTTAAGCAATTAGTCAAAGCCCACCTCATCTCCATGCAGAACTCACTGAACGCCCTACAGGTTGCATACAAGCAAAACAGATCCACAGATGATGCCATCATACATGCCCTCCACACCTTCCTCACCCATGTGGAGCAAAGGGGCACAATATAGAAGAATGCTGATGAGTTCAGCATTTCGTACCACTGTGCCCTCTCAGCTGGCCATCAAGCATAGAGACTTTGGACTGAGCAGTGTCTTCTACAGCTGGCTCCTCAATTTCAGAGCAGTGGTCTAGGTCATATGTGTGATATGAAAAAAAACAACACCAGTTCAGTTAATTCAGTCAAATTTATAATATATGACTGGACCACAGTGTGAACAATAACAAAGCAAATTTCAGTTGCATTTTTCAATCAATTTATTAAATTAGCCCCTGTTTATCTTCTGGCCTGCCATTTAATGGATTACTTGCCGACCCCTGCCCTAAAGTGTGACATTTGGAGACATCACCTCCTCCATCACAACACTCAGAGTCCCCCAGGGGTGTTTGTTAAGTCTCATCCTGTACTCCTGCTTGACCAGCGACCATCACAAAGATTGCTGATGACATCACCATCATCAGCCTTATCACTGGGAATGACGATTTGGACTAGAGAGAGGAGGCCATAAAAGACCCCCATCTACATCCATAGAGCACCTGCGGAGAGAATCATCAGCTTCAGCTTCCTTTGGGTCCACACTAACAAAGACCTTAAGCTGTCAACTCATATTGAGTCAGTGGTGAGGTCCACGAGCCAACATATTTTTCCTCAGGAGACTGAGAAGGTTACAGGAGGATACTCTGCAACTTTTTACATATTCACCATTGAGAGTGTCCTCTCTTGCTGCACGGTATGGCAACAGCTCTAAGCAGGACCATTAATCCCTGCAGAGCTGCTCAACACATCACCAGACCTGACCTGCGACCCATGCAGGACCTCTACATTTAGAGGAGCATGTGGAAAGCTGGAAAAATCAAGGATCCCAAACCAAATGAAGAATATCTACTTAAATACATATTGTGTAAGAATTCAGATTTGTAGTATGAATATCCAACATTTCTACTGAGGTGATAGAGGCCCCTCCTGAATGTCGTTTGAAGCCACATTATTTGCATATGCAAGCCGTACACAAACATTTCCTTCCCTCTCTAATACAAGGAAGCATTTAACGACTGAACTTGTCAGTGACGAGTGCCACTGTTCTTCAGTAGCTCAGCTGGACTGATCTCGCCATGTATTTCCACTGTAAACTAGTCATACTGATACTTGCACTGACTCATGATGGTCAAGGTAAGTGTAGGTATATTGTACATATACTTGTGTGTGTGTGTGTGTGTGTGTGTGTGTGTGTGTGTGTGTGTGTGTGTTAAAATATACTCTGAGTAAAAGTTACAGTGTTACATTTTGAAAAGGGTAGGCTTAATGACAGAGTAAAAAAATGTTACATGGTGATAATAATAATATATACTAAACTTATTAAATTAAGGAACATCTTTAGGCTCCCAGACATACAGATTGTTTGCAGGTGAGAACTGCATCAAAAGCAACCAAAAAATTCCAGCCACCTTTGGAGCCTTTGCATACAGCTGATAATAACTCCACGGCTGGAGTCCATAGATGTGTAGTAATATTAGGCTATATAAATAAAATAGCTGCCACTTCTAACAGCAGAATAAAGCCGCAGAAAAGTTGAAGATTTATAAATATTATAAACATAAACTCCAGAGTGGCTGCAGCTGAAAGCCGAGTTAAAAAATACTTAAAAATGAAATTACTGATTTTTTAAATATTCCAAAATTACAAACTACACAAGAAAAACAATTTTGTTACAGAAACAAGAGTAAGCTTACACCCCATGTATACACACGTGGGCATACAAAATGAACATAATGTTGAATCAACACCTCTAAACCAGTTTCAACACCAATTGTTTTCACTAGTGTATACAGGAGAAATCTTTGGAGGCCACGAGGCTGTCCCACATAGCAGGCCGTATATGGTGCTTTTGGAGCAGCACGTGGAGGATAATAAAACACAACACTGTGGTGGATTCCTTCTGAATGAGGATTTTGTGATGACGGCAGCCCACTGCCAAGCAAGGTCAGTTTTACACACTTTATGTTGAAGTACTGGGAATTCTGGTTCCCATGATGCTCCCATTTTTTAACCCACCAACAACAACCTAGACTCATGTATTGAGATTGGCAGATATATTTCATGATAGCTTTGTGAACTCTGACATAAATTCAAGTCTCTAAATATTTGTATTTTTGTGTAAACAATGCTCTGTCCAAGTAACTAATCTATTTATTGCCATATAACTTTTTTTATGTTAAATTTTTTCAGGTCCTACAGTGTCCTTCTAGGAGTTCACAACTTCTTTAACAGTAAAGAAGTACAGCGTATAACTGTGGAAAAAGCATTTCCACATAAAGACTACGATCCTATTAATTTAAAAAATGACATAATGCTTCTTAAGGTAAGAAAATCCTCACAGTTAAAAGCAAATTTTGGCTTTTGTCTATTTATGTTATTTCAAGTTTTCGTTTCTTATTATTTGCAAATGCTATAACTAAATAAATGCATTAATAAAATTGAATTGAATTTTCCTTTATCTCCCCTGTTCCTGTGTTTTTCATCTCTTCCCACTTGTGTTTATCATGTTAGTAACAAGTGTTGTATTGAATCAAAAGGACCACAGCAATATTGTACATATAAATGTTTATAATTTTTGAATATATTTTTTTTCTCTCCCTGTTCCTCAAGTTGAAGTCCAAGGCACATTTCAACAAAAATGTGAAACCCATTGCTCTCGCAGGCCAAGATGATGGATCTCTGCCTAAATCATGTATAGTCTCTGGCTGGGGAAGAAGCGACAAAAACAATAACTTTATGTCTGTAAAGCTCATGGAAGTCAATGTAACACTCACTGACAATGAGCTGTGTGCCCAGAATGAGTGGTACTGCTCTGAGGGAGAGAATGGACCGGGGAAAGTATGTACATTCATGAAATATAACGTGTACAAAAACACTTTGGTCAACTGATAATTAAATCACAGTTACTGAGGCAATCACTGCAAACTGTATGTACTTCCAGGGAGACTCTGGTGGTCCGTTGGTCTGTGAAGATGGAAAGGCGTACGGGGTGGTGACTGCCTCAGCTGAACTGGCTGCGTCAAAACAAATCCATGCTTATACTAAAATTCCTGAGAGTATGAAGTGGATCAATAGCATGATGGAACATGTATATTTGAGTACCTAAGTGACTGTGTAAGTATGACTTGAAATCAGAAACTTAATTGTAGACTCAATGCTGTTTATTAGGTGTATTACCTACTGATGTTAGACAATATGTCCTATGCTATTAAAAACAACATTACATATATTAAATGCATTACTGCTTTGTGCATGTTCTTTTAGACTAGATTGAATGAGAACACAGGCTCCTGTATGTTTGTTTTGCAACATCTTTTGAAACAATAAACTGTTGCTCTCTCACCATGTTCTCTCAGTGCCTCTGTACACATCTCTGTTTGAACATGAATTAAATCAACAAAAATGACAACACTGCCTCCTTGTGAACAAAGTCTATCGATGCAACAAGAAGAGGTTCACTGTTTACTTGTAGAAGTCAGAGCTGAAAGTCTCTTATTTATAAGCTCTAAATCTAATAAAGTCTCTATCTGTTGTTAAACACATCCTGTCATTGCATTTTTAGGAACATGTGACAGAACAGCTCTGGGTGGACACTACCACTGCTGTCATTTTCCAGTTATTAAAGCACTTCTTGGTTCCAACTTCCAGGTTATTTAGGCATTGAAAAAATATATTACCATACCAAATGTTAGTTAAATGTATTCTACATTTATTTTAATATAATTTGATATTACAGTAACTTCTGGGATCATACCAGTTAAGGTATGGTAAACCAGTGAGGAGTTGCAGTTTTGTGTTTTACCACACTTAACTGACAAAATCTAGCCCAAATTCATAAAACCTTGTCTTCCATATATGTTTATTTTCAGATCTACTAAATATAATAAGTTGCACTTGGTAGTCAGAACATGAGCCACAAGATTGTAATAAATTGTGTATTACTCTCGGAATCCTCCATGTCTTCCTGACTTTCTTTCGAGCCAGGAGCATCAGCGTCGCAGTGTTCAACTAAATCAGATGGAGTGTCTTTCCAATGTAAATGACAAGTCCAGAGGTTGACCAGTTCAATACTTCTGCAAGACACTGATGGGAAGCTTTCAAAAAAAATGACAGATTTGGTCGGTTGATATTCTGCTGCTTCACAGCTATGGCAGAGGATGTGGTTAATGATATAAATCTATACTTCTTGTGAATCAGAAACAAGATGAACCATGTGTGAGCAAACCTGGCCCAGTCCACAATCAGGCACAATCTGCTTCAGGCTAGATGATAAAAAAGGGTGAAAAGTTAATTTGGATTGCCCTTATACACCATTTCACAAGGATATAAAAACACCAATAAAAGCACACACATGGGCTAGCACAAACTGTATAAAATTATGCAAAACTGCAGCATGATAAGTCCATTTATTAGCCCTCTTTTCCCAGATCACCACATCAATCCAATTGGTACTGAAACCAGGAAGTACTCTGGCAAGAAGACACATTTTTATTGTCCCCATGGTCCCCCACCATCCCATATCAACAGCCGAATCCCTCGTCCAGATTCCTTGTGCATTACACAAAGATAAATTACATTACACAAAGATAAATTATGCAATTAACTTCATCTGTCTCACAGGCTATAGCACTTGACTGGCTAAAGCCAATATCAGTGTCTTCTGATAATAATTAAACAGCTACTTTGAATTAAGTTGCTGTTGTAAAATAAAAGACATACCATTCAGGTTTACATCAGCAACATCAAGCTGAGTTTCATGTACTTCAGTTTCTCACAACATCAATATGCTAATCAAAGATCTACTAGGAAAAGAATGACTAAACGTTTCCAACTGATATCAGACCAAATTATCTCATTTCATCAAATCGATACCCACATGCATGCGTCTGCATTACTTGATTTCCTGAAATGCTGCGAATCCACTGCCCCCTGCAACCTGTCTCAGTGTGCAAGTCAAATCACTATTCCCACTCCTGACTCCCTCATATTCAATCTCAAGCTGAGTTTTACAGAACAGCTTGGCATCTCTCACTCCATATTTCTCTTCAGCCTAAATCCGCAGACTCTTTCCATATCCACACTGCTTCCTCCGCATCATGGCAAGGAATCCCTGACTACACTGTTGCAGGAGGTAAGTCTCACCTCCATATGAAGAACTTTTGGTGGACAATGAAGCCATAAAGCTTCACTGAGATGTGTGTGACTTCATTTTCATACTTAAATGGTGTGGCGCTTGTTAATGGTGAAGTGAAGGACATGGGGTCCATTCACATATAATTGAAAATAAGATTTCAATGTACAGTATGAGTAATAACATGTTATGATATACTGCTGTTTCACAACTCAGACAGAGGAAACGGTTTGTGGTGTTATCTGTGCTTCCTGTTGTTTACAAATGAAATAAAGGATGCAAGAGCAGTTCCAACAGATGTGAAAAAGCAATATGTACACAAGACCCAGAGCGAGCAGGTATTCGAGACTGCCTTGCAGCATATGAAGATTTTATTTATGATTAATTGAAATTGAAATTTTCATTTGGCAATGGAAAGCATAAGGCATATGTAAGCCAAAGAAAGGGGATGTAGTAAAGACTTACAATTATTTGTCACAAAATACGTATGTAAATTAATTAATATACTGCCATGACACACCACCCAATTGTTATTATACTACACTCTAAGGTCCTGCCCTTAATATTGTATTATTAACGCTCATATGTCAAAGCTGTTGAATACCAGCGCCGTGACAAAATCATCAGGTCCTTTTTCCAACCGTCATGATTGCTGTCTGTTGTAGTGAGTGCTGCTACTGACTTTGAAGCAGTGACAGTGATGTTGTTTCTCTGGCAAAGAGCATAATTTCTGTGAACAGCAGTTTTCTTTCTCCAAAACACCTGCCATAAACTAACAGTGCTATAAGATGTCTTAGTCATCAACTTTGGTAAGAGGGATATCATGCTGAGATCTGAATGAATCTGCACATACAGTATGTACTGTTACAGAGTAGCTGACTAGCTCTATAGAAATGTTTCTGACTAACTTTATGACTAACTGAATAGATACAGAATCCAGATTACTTAACCATTTCTTTGGTAGCTCAGGGGTCACATTTCACAAGTACTCAAGGTGAAACTCAAGGTTAAAGCCCCTCCTTATGACTGTGCTACGGTGATGTTTGCATTGGCCCTATTCAAGTTACAAAAGCACTTCCTTTTCTCTCCAATACAAGGAAGCATTTAAAGGCTGAACTTGTCAGTGATGTGTGCAGCTGTTCTTCAGTAGCTCAGCTGGACTGATCTCACCATGTTTTCCCACCGTAAACTGGTCACATTGATGCTTGCACTGACTCTTCATGGTCAAGGTAAGTCTCATGTTTATATGGCAATTAAATAAAAAATTTAAGTTTTTATATAATTTAATTTTTTTCCTCTTTCTCTAGTGTATACAGGAAAAATCTTTGGAGGCCACGAGGCTGTGCCACATAGCAGGCCACACATGGTGCTTTTGGAGCAACACATGGAGGAAGGTAGAATAAAACACTGCGGTGGATTCCTTCTGAATGAGGATTTTGTGATGACGGCAGCCCACTGCCAAGCCAAGTCAGTTTTACACACTTTATGTTGAAGTACTGAGAATTCTGGTTTTCTTAACCCAACAACAACCACAGAGACTCATGTATTGGCAGTGGTGACATAAATTCAATGTCTTTTTTTGTCGATTTTTGTGAATACAATGCTCTGACCAAGCAACTAATCTGTTTCCTCCCAGATAACTTTTTCATATTAACTTTTATCATTTCAGGTCCTACAAAGTCTTACTAGGTCTCCACGATGTCCGTAACAGTAAAGAAATACAGCATGTATTTGTGGAAGAAGCATTTCCACATAAAGAATACGATGAAAAAGAATTAAAAAATGACATAATGCTTCTTAAGGTACTAGTAATAGAATTGTATTTAAAACCCTTGTACTTAATGGTAGAAATATAAATTTTTTCATCTCTTCCCACTTGTGTTTATCATGTTAGTAACAAGTGGTGTATTGAATCAAAAGGACCACAGCAATATTGTACATATTAATGTTTATAATTTTTGAATATATTTTTTTTCTCTCCCTGTTCCTCAAGTTGAAGTCCAAGGCACATTTCAACAAAAATGTGAAACCCATTGCTCTCGCAGGCCAAGATGATGAATCTCTGCCTAAATCATGTATAGTCTCTGGCTGGGGAAGAAGCGACAAAGTAAATAGATATATGACTCCAATACTCATGGAAGTCAATGTAACACTCATTGACAATGAGTGGTGTACCACAGAAAAGTTGTACTGCTCTAAAGGAGAAAATGGACCAGCTGAGGTATGTACATTTATGAAACATAACATGTACAAAACCACTTTGGTCAACTGATAATTAAATCACAGTTACTGAGGCAATCACTGCAAACTGTATGTACTTCCAGGGAGACTCTGGTGGTCCATTGGTCTGCGAAGATGGAAAGGCGTACGGGGTGGTGTCTGCCTCTGGTATCTTAAACTCAGATGGAACCCAAATCTATTGTTTCACGAAGATACCTGACTATAGAAACTGGATTGATGGGATCATTGGACATATTGGAAATGGTCCATCAAATCACAACATTTGAATTTACAGTTTTTCAGGGTATTGTATAACATTACAGAATTATAGAGTTGATGATTGAGATGCTAGTATTACCTGCCAGAGCAAATGCTTTAAACAGATTTAATCAAAATATGCTTTACTTTGATGATACCACATGATACAAATTTTTGTGTATAAAGTTGAGTCAGAAGACTGAAAATAGTGTACGCTGGTGCAGTGCGGACTCTACATTTTCTGTCGATATGCTTTAGGTTTTATGAAGAAATATAGAAATTTAAACCAAGCAGGCCGGATTTAAAAAAGCCAATCATGAAATACAAATTGAGTGTATATATTAAAGGTTCTGTCAACAAGGTTTTAAACATTAATATAGTAGCAAACAAGTATTTTCTATGCAAAGATATAGTGGAGTAATGGCATTTAACTTAAGTAACTTTATTCAGTTGAGCTTCTTGTTTGGCGTTTAGTGGCCACTTTCACTGAGCTTTGTAACACTTTGCTGACTGAGAACATGTATTGGGAGGCTGGAGGTGAGGCTGACAAAGCATTTGTTTTGGTCTGAGATGGTGGTGGTTTAGTGCGCCATCTAATGGCAATGGTGATTGTTTACAGAACCTTTAAGTCAATCCTAAACAGATGTAATAGCTATTGTTTTCATATATAATGTGGCCTATGCTCTTAAAACATATACATGTTAATACATAACTGCTTTGTGCATCCTCTTTTACACTAGACAATATGAGAACACAAGATCCTCTAAGTTTGTTTTGTACCATCTTTTGAAACAATAAACTGTTGCTCTCTCATCGTGTTCTCTCAGTGCCTCTTTACACTTCTGTATGAACATGAATTAAGCCAACAAAAACGACAACAGTGCCTCCTTGTGAACAAATTGTATTGATGCAAAAATTGTTCACTTGTTGAAGTCAGAGCTGAAAGCGTCTTCTCATTTATAAGCTCTAAACCTAATCAAGTCTTCCTATTTTCAGACTATTTAGACATGAAATAAATTTAGGCCATTTTGCTTTGTAACCACTCCAAAGTTAGCAAGAGCATATGATGCTATCAAGAAATAAATAACAAATCATAATGTACTGTCAGTATACTTGTGTTGAGAAAAATTTAAGGACAAAATAACCCTCCTGTTGCTCATTAGCGATGTTAGTCATCCAGTGTTTTGCACAATTACAGCGAGGTCTGCTTTCAACAGCAGTGGTGCAGACCAGATGTTACATGATGAGAAGTTGGGGAAACAAAGTAGATTACTCAGACTTCTTAGAAGTTTTCACAGAGAGAAACTTCTACTTGAAACTTCTGAAAACTGGTACTTGCCCCCACATTATTCATGTGGATCAATTATATCCATTTAAATTCTCCGGAAAGTTTAAATCTTTATCTGGTTCCATAGGTAACAGTGAGGCACTTGTAGTTAAATGCATTTAACTGTTTGCACAGTTATCCATCTGTGACCAGCATATTTCAAATAATGGCGCTTTAAGCAGCATTTTGCCGTAGACATATTAATGCTCAAAAGTGGAAGAAATCTTTTGAATTTGGTGATTGTGGTGATCAGTTTGACTTTAGCACCACCATCAGACAGTTTCTATTTCTTTCATGACAACATTGGTGATTACCAATTAGAAAATGCACAGGCAGTAAGTACATGCACACACTATATGTACACACACACATATACAGTATATATATTTTTTCAATTTTCAAGCAATTTGAGATGAATACTGAGAGCCTAGGTTCTCAAAGTCAGGTGCACCACTATAGGTCCTTGAGTGGGTTCCAGGGGGGTCTCCATAGCAAATTCATGAATTATTAAACTTCTGCATTATTTCAACTACATGTCTCTCTCTCTCACACACACACACACACACACCATTTCAAGTACCAAAAATCTTTCAATGATCACAAAGAAACAAAACAAAAAAAACAGATAGTCGTTAAGATAAAATATCTTAAGATTCAGTTGACCGACTGTAGTTTATGCACTGCTCGCCTATAGAGCATTTTCTAGCTCTCCTTCCACCCTTGTTTGTCGTCTCTCCTCTGTTACTGATGTGTCTGGCTCTTTTGTGTCCTCTGCTCTCGCTTTATGGTTTTGCCCAGGTAATGAAGGGGTAGAAGGACTTTACATCTTTATCTCTCACCGAATTAACACATAATTATAACGTGTTCCCTAAACAAATATTTAAATACTTTCAAATCTTAATATATGGTTGATGCAGTGTAGTGTGTGAACTGCTCACCTCTCTGTCACCATCTCTACTGTCTTCTTCCTGCTTCTCCTCCTTCTGTAGCTCATCA